CTAAAAATGAAGAGTTCTATAAAATAGAAAAGTATTACTTTTTATGTAGTCAGGTCTGTTGTTCAGTGTCAGCTTCCCAGGTTCATGGATTATAAAGTCTTTTAGGACAGAAGATACTCCCTATAAGCCATCATGTAAATATTATAGCTTTAAAGTGAGTAATTTTAATAATAACACGCCATATTTAAGGCTCTATTAGGCACAGCTCTGGTTGCTTTGATTTATTCATCAATTTGGAGGGCTCTGAAATTTTCTAAAGCCTAAATTTCAAAAAAAAAAAAATTCAAGTGGGTCTCTTTGCATTAAAACCATTTGCTGAATTTTCTTGATGTTTATTTTTATTTTTTCTTGGACTTAAGAATTGTTTGATGTACATTTTGTTGTTGTTGTTGTTGTTGCCAAATAATACCCCACATTTTCTTAGCCATGCATTGAAGTCAGTCAGCCTCTTCCACTGGTTCTTTTGAGGCTGCAAATTAGTCATAACAATAAAGGAGATGACTCAAGCCCTTAAAAAAGCTTAAAAAATGGCATTGCTACTCAAAGCTTTCAATCAAATGCCTCTAACTGATTATGGAAATGTTTGGCATGATTTAAAAGTTGGACATTTTTTATCAAAATTCTCAGTAGACCCCATTCTTGACCACTCAAAAAAGAAAAAAAGCCAATGGGAATTGAGGATTTCAAGAGATCTAATACAATTCAGGTATTTGGAAGTCTGTTATGCTAGTTTCGAAAGTAAGGAACAGCATGTAAGTATATATGATTTCACTGGATAGGATAAAAAAGTAAATGATAGATGGAATTTTAATAGCTCATATGATCCACTCTGGTTTTCATAGTAGAGTACCTTTTTTTTTTCTTTTCTTTTTTTAAAGAGGGACAATATCTTGAATTGCAGCCTATGGGCTGATACAGAAGAATCTTTTGATAGGATTCAGATATTTTTGAATCCCCTAAAACCAAAAGGTTAAATACTGCTCTAAAGTGTGCCAGAACAGCTTGCATTTGTAAAGGTAAAAAAAAATTCAGGGTTATTTAAGCACCTTTTTTAGTGATACATTTATGACAGACAAATTTGTACAGAGTCCTTCCTTTTATATCTCAGAGCAGTAATTAACTTTGTAGACTGAATTGAAGTCTGCTCTGAAGTGAGGGGAAAACACCCAAGAAGGCACTTATTCATAACCCATGCTAATTTACTATAATTCTTAACTTCAGACAAGGGTTAGAATGACATTGCAATGAGAAAAAGTGATGATGAACCAGGGAAAGGTTAAATTCTAGCTGAGAATAACAGCTTGAGTTATGATGCTTAATGCAGTGGATTGAGTCTGGTCTCTAATGCATTCATGCTCTTTATGGGCAGAAGGGTCTTGGGAAAAGTCTTAGGTCATCAGTTTTGAACAATGGCCAAAATGCCTATTTAAATAGAAAAAGGAAGTGAAATTTCCTGGCACAGATGTAATTTACCAGTTGCTAATGAAAACATCGTATAAAAGACTGTTTCAAAATTTTATGCTGAATAGCAAGCTTCTAGAATGCACTGTCGCATATCCCGAGATCCACTTTCTACACCAGGTACCCCACCTGCCCCTATCATGTTTTCCTCACTGCAGCCTTGATGAATGTTTAAGCATTCTTTTTAACCACACACCTGGAAGGCCCCCTCACCTTTACTTCCAAATTTCATGCTGTTCTACCTCTTTATCGAATTTTAACTACATAATTATTGTGCTATAAATACAATCAGATGATCAAAAATAAAAATAGATAAATTATATACTTTAAAATACTTGTTAGAGAGTGAATGGCTAGACAAGAAAAAGAAACATCATTTGGATTTACTTATTTGAAATAATATGCTTAGCCACTAGATGTCACCCTTTTTTAAGCAACAAAGAACTACTTCACCTAATGTGCAACGTCAATACCAGTGACTCTTTGTTCCACTATATTTGATGTCCTCCATATGGAGAACATATATCTCAGCTACATATTGACTATGTTAACAGCGAGAAACTCTTTAGTCTCTGTAAAGGTCTAAGAGAACAGAAAAGTATAGGTAACAGAAGGCTCATTAAACACAGTTAAGCCAGCTGATGTTGGAGCCCTAACAACTGAGATATAATTATTAATTGGCAATAGAGTCAGTACTTACACTGGAACTTTGGAAGTTCAAGTTGGATTTGACCTTTGTGCTAGAAACATTATTATATTACTCACAAAAAAATTCCCCTCCATTTTCAAAATACTTCTATTTATTGAACATAATTGTAACATCTACGCAATTAGCCTTGTTTAGACAGTGTGGTATTCTAGGCTTTTCGTGTCTTTTTCATTCATTGCTTATTCAACCACTCTTCCTGCAGGTGGTGTTTGATTTGCAGATGCACGAAGGAGTAAAATACACCATGGGGCATAAAATTAAATTTTAGCAAAGCATTTCTTTTCTAATCAAGAACAATGAACAGATTGTCTGCAAATAGCTTGTCTCTCTCTTGTACAAATCTACTGCATCCCATTCCTAATTAGCTTCATCCCTCACACCCATTAAATACAATACATGATACCTAGTACAGAAAAGGGAGCTAAGGCTAGAAATTGGCAGCGCTGAAATTAGTCATGCTGACATCATATAAAAAGAGATTTTAAGAGTGAGAGAAAACAACAAACAGAAAAACAACCACCACTAGGATTTCTTGTAACATAGCCTTCACAAGTCAAGCCTAATTTTGAGTCCCGTCAGTTTCCAAAGCTAGATAGTTAAAATGCAACAATAGCTAATAACATGTAAGTTTCTAAAAAATGTAAAAGCGTGGCCGTCATACACATGCAAAATGAACACACATGAAAGATCTCATTCAATTCACTACTAAGGGAGAATTGGTGCAACGGTAGTAAGACTGCTACAAGAGAATTCAGGGAATGGAGGTTTATACAGTGAAGCCTGCAAAGGTCTGCTGAAATAAACTTGGTAACAGACACAAATTAATGTTCCACAAGGTCACAACCATAACCTTCGGTGTAATCTTTCCTTACTGAGTAATATGATTTCTACTGGGCAACAGTCTACATGTTAACATGCAAATTCACAGTGAGTCAACAAAGTTCTTGGGTTTAAATACTAAATAATTACCAAACAATACTTGGGCAAGACTGTTAAAGAATGCTCCAATGACATTTTTAACAGATGTTCCTCATCTTTTTCCTTTATTTCCCAAATTTTGGATATACAGTTTTTCATATAGCCCCATAGGGACCAATCACATAGAGTACTTAAGTGGCTATGCTTAGTGCTTTAAATGCATCATCTTATTTTATTTTCACAATACTTGACTATGAGGTGGAGGCTATTATCTCCATTCAGAGACCAGAACACTGAAGGGTCAAGGAATATTCTTCACGCTACAGACCACCAAGAGACAGAGACTGAGCTGGATGATCTTTCTCCTGGGATCATAAACTTAACATGTATTTAAACGTTAACTAGGAGATTTTGAGATTCCACCAAATGAGGTCCATGTGAGCACACAACCCCTTCCCCCTCTTCTGTTCCTCGTCCGTGGCAAGAGAAGTCTCAGGTACAACAGCAGCAGCCCTATGTGTAAGGTCAGAGATGACCTCCTAACACTGGCATTCTCTAGAATTTGAGTAGATTACTCCCCCTACTCCACCTCCACCAGCTTCCCCTTTGGGTTGATATAATCCATCAGACACTCTATTAAAAGTTAAATAAATTGAGAATGAAAAAGGGCAGGGTGGTGAGTCATCACACAAAAGCAAGCAATATCTTGCATACTGTCTATGTGGACAACAATTACACTAGGTGAAATGTTTTATCAATGGGATTTGTTAAAAATGAAAAAGAACGCTTTTAAAATATATGTGGTATTCTTATAGCATATGCTTTCTATTCTTCTCAGAGAGTTTGGGGACAGGGAGGGAAATCTAATGGACTGACAACAATATATTCAAGGAAGATGTCTGCTTGACTTAATACCTGTCTAAAGAAAATGCTCTTTTTAATTTTAAAAACTTGAAAAAATTTTAGATGTGATTAAATATAGAAAATCATCTTAAATTTCTGGGATTTATATGCAGAGAACTTCCAAAATGTGAGGTGCTCCAAGCTCTATTGCTAATTCAGCTTCAATTCCTGTAGAGATTATACCACTCAGCCAAGTGCCTGAGAAGATTCAGAAAACTAATCAAACATTATTATATTATCTATTAGGAGTCCAGACAGTCTCTTCAGTACACATATTCCAATACAGCAACTGTGAAGAGTTTTTTTTTTTTCTTCTGGAATATTATTTCTTTATCTCCATACCAGATAAAAATAAAAGGAACACTTATGAGTTCCCCAGTCAAATAAAAATGTGTAAATTTGTTGGTGTATTACATTTGCATTTATACTTGCTCTAAAAATGAAGAGAGTTCTATAAAATAGAAAAGTATTACTTTTTATGTAGTCAGTCTGTTGTTCAGTGTTCAGCTTCCCCAGGTTTCATGGATTATAAAGTCTTTTAGGACAGAAGATACTCCCTATAAGCCATCATGTAACATTTATAGCTTTAAAGGTAGAGGTAATTTTAATAATAACACGCCATATTTAAGGCTCTATTAGGCACAGCTCTGGTTGCCTTTGATTTATTCATCAATTTGAGGGCTCTGAAATTTTCTAAAGCCTAAATTTCGGGGAAAAAAAATTCAAGTGGTCTCTTTGCATTAAACCATCTGCTTTACATGATTGCAGTGACTCATTTTTAGCATTGAAGCTTCCCTTTTTGATTAAATTTCTTGTTCGACCAATTGAACTCTTTGGAAAGCATTTTATTTCTGATAAAGTATATCATAACTAATAGAGTAGTGAAATAATTATAATCTAATCCAGATTCCTATTGGATAGCATCTTAAAGAACTCATGTAAATTTAGCATATTATTAATACAAATTAATTTGTTCATCATTAAAGAAGAATCCGAAGATGGTACTCACGTGGGTTTAATTTTATGGGTGTGCTTTTCATGGATAAAGGCACCAGCAATACCTCCTGCTCCTGCATTTAAATACTGGATTGAAAATAAATTAAATTGTATGGGTTTACCAAAATACATGACACAAAAAAACAAACAAGGTAACAATGTAATCATTTGAATATTTTTAATGAAACCACAACTTTTGATAAGTCCAAAATGTGTGATAATTTGAGTTTTTATAACAAAAGAGGAGCTTTGGACACCTTTTAAAAAAAAAAAACAAAAAAAATGAAAAATAGTATTATTAGACTGAGAATAAATAGCTACTACTTTTTTGGCCAAATTTTGGGCCAGCTAGTAGATACCAGTTCCACTGAGGTCTGTCTGATTTCAAAATTCATACATTTAAAATATTTGGTCATAAAATATTTAAATAACAAAAGGAACATATTTTAAAAACACCTAAATTAAAATAGGTTTTATTTTCCTGCTCCCTGTCAATTAAATTGTCTTCACATACCAATACCAAGTTAATTCTCTAAGAATTATCTTCATGTATGTAGAAATTTCACAACTAATCAACAAAAAAACCTGAGAACCTAATCTATTTTAGTTAAGTTTTAAGTGCAGGGCTTTTTCTCCAGACCCTCCTGACTTTTTCATAGCAGCTTAGGAATTGAAGGAATAAGTTCTCTATGGTGATAGAAATACTAGATTCAATTATTTATCATACTCCTCTATAATATGACTTTACTATTAGCTAAAGTTTAAAAAATGCAATAATGAAAGAAATAGGAAAGTAAGTCAATTCCTTAAAATTGACCCATGGATCCATTTTTCCCTTCAGGTTAATGCCAATGTGAAATTAAAGGATGTAAATATATTAACTAGTTTGTACCTTGTAGGAACACCAGCAGGCAAAATCAACTCCCCAGTCATGTAAGTGAAGTTCAACATTTCCAACTGCATGAGCTAGATCAAAGCCAACAAAACAACCCTGTGGGAGAACATAATAACAGATTTTGAATTTGCTTAAAGGTTAGAAACAGTAACTACAAATATCTTTAAGAAAATCTTTGACAAACTGCTGTACCATAAATAATAGTTCATCCTTTGTGCCGTGGTTCACAAACAGGGATTCTCAGTTCCCAAGACCATTTCAGGAGGCCTGCCAGATCAAAGCACTTTTCATAATATTAAGATACTCTCTGCCTTTTCACTGGGTTGACATTTGCACTGATAATGTGAAATGTGATGGTTAAAACTGCTTAGCAGGGACCAAGGCAATGACACCAAACTGTAGTATCCGTCACTGCATCTGTCCCAGACATTCACTCACAGGGTGGTGGGGGTGGTCACGGTGAGGGGAGTTTTACTTAAAAATCTCTTTAGTAAAACTCTACAAATAAGCAATTTTTATTATATCTTAACACCTTAATTCTAATGTTTAATGTGGGAAGTATATATAAAACTCTTGGCCACATTCTGCAGTAGACTGATTATCTCAGAATAATGCACTTATGCAATTATTTGAGTTGCAAGGTGAATTAGCTACTTTTGTTTTATGGACAATTACTTTAGTGTGAAAAAGCACCTGACAGACAAACAAGGGTAATTCATATCTGGGTATTTGATAGACTTTTTTTCTTTTTAAAAAATGAATGAAGTGTCTGTCACTTCAAGGAAAACAACTCATAGTATTTGTGCCCAACGATAAAATTAGAGTTTCCAAGAGAAGTTAGAATATTGGAAAACTTGTATCTACCTCCAAGAATATGACTACTTCCCAGTATTAAGAGATATTTCTTATGAGCTGAGTAGCAATATGTAATTTTTAAAATATTATATAATTAAATATATCAATATTTGGAAAATAGGCATAATTCTATGAACCGACATTTTCCAAATGACCAATACTTGATGTTACATATCAGGCATTGATAAAATCTACTCAAAATGCAAGATCAGCCAATGGATTTTAATGTAACAGAGTACAGAGAATTCCGTTATTTGATTTCATATTCCATACCACAACTCCTAGGAAGTTTCCACTCATCAAATTCTGGTGCAATATCAAAGAATATACACAACTAACTGAAAAGGTTAAATAAGGATCAAAGTGATCGCCACCCCAGCTGCTCACCCTTAGCTGGCCACAGATGCATGAGGGAGCTCACCTGAGACCAGCAGGACTCTCCAGCCCAGCAGTCTTCAAACTACGCGGCCTGTGGGCCACATGCAGGTGTTTTTGCCCGTTTTTTTTGTTTTTTTTTTTACTTCAAAATAAGATATGCGCAGTGTGCATAGGAATTTATTTATAGTTTTTTTTAAACTATAGTCTGGCCCTCCAACGGTCTGAGGGACAGTGAACTGGCCCCCCATGTTTAAAAAGTTTGAGGACCCCTGCTCCAGCCAAATTCTGCCTAGATCAGCTGACACCAAGGTTATCCGTAAATAAATGATTATTGTTTCAAGCCAAAAAGTTTTGAGATAGTTTGTTACACGGCATTTTTATGGCAAGAGCTAACTGATACATATACTCAGTCCAAAAGGAGCAAGGCAAAATTTACATGGTCTTAGGAATTATAGCTGCCATTCCACTCAAAGAGTCCCGCTGCAGAAGGATCATAAGATGAGAGGTTTGGATCAGATACTGCTTAAATCCTTTTTAGTTCCCATGTCAGAATAAGAGTATGTATCCAGGCTTAGTGCTATTCTGTAAGCAAAGATGCCTATTTCTGATACACTACCAATCCTTAATGTCAGACAGCTGTTTTATCTGATGTTCAATTTTTAAAAAGGTATTTTTATCTAATAATAGAGGGGGGAAATGGTGTTGTTAGTTACAGAATTTCAAAGTTAATGTTGACTCTACTGTCTTCTCCATATACATTGACTTTAAACCTTAACGCCTCTTTGGGTCTGGCTCTATTCTGCCTTATTTACTCGTCATGTGGATTCAAGTGTTTTGTAGGTCTGCCTAGTGGAATTCACAATGTTTTTGAGTAGACATTAAGCCTCTGTTTTCACTAAATTTTACCCCAAAGGACAAACTGGAGCAATGAATAATTGTCCAAATTGTACTCCAGTAGTAACTTTCTAATTTAATACTTATGATAAAAACCATTTACCTACACACAAAATGCTAATTTTTCTTTTTTAAAGAAAAAGTCTTGCTCTGTCTCCTGGGCTGGAGTACAGTGGTATCATCATAGCTCACTGTAATTTCTAGCTCCTGGGCTCAAACGATCCTCCTGCCTCAGCCTCCCGAGTAGCTGGATTATAGGCATGCACCCTCACACCATGATAATTTTTCTATTTTTTGTAGAGATGGGGTCTTGCTCTTCTTCAGGCTAGTCTCAAACTCCTGGCCTCAAGTAATCCTCCAGCCTCAGCTTCCCAAAGTGCTAGGATTACAGGCGTGAGCCACCATGCCTGGCCAAAATATTAAAATTTTTACTTAGAAAATATAGTGATTCATTCCATATAAAGACAACTTTGTACAGGAAAATGAATTTAAAAACTCATCATTAGGCTGGGTGTGGTGGCTCACACCTGTAATCCTAGCACTCTGGGAGGCCGAGGCGGGCAGATTGCTTGAGGTCAGGAGTTTGAAACCAGCCTGAGCAAGAGTGAGACCCCGTCTCTACTATAAATAGAAAGAAATTAATTGGCCAACTAATATATACAGAAAAATTAGCCGGGCATGGTGGTGCACGCCTGTAGTCCCAGCTACTCGGGAGGCTGAGGCAGCAGGATTGCTTGAGCCCAGGAGTTTGAGGTTGCTGTGAGCTAGGCTGACGCCAAGGCACTCACTCTAGCCTGGGCAACAAAGCGAGACTCTGTCTCTAAATAAATAAATAAATACTCATCATTAAATGAGGTGATAGAACTTTGTAAAACATTTTACCTTTGGGTTTGTCTATTATTAGTTTACCAAGTATACATATAATAATTATATGCCCCAAATGTTAGATTTCTTGTAACATTGAAAGAACACCTCTCTGGACTGAAGTAAAGTTTCTGAAGTAAATAATTGCAGTGGGATGATTTTAGAATTGTTCTAACACCTCCTAAGAATAAATAACCCCAAACTGCTATTATGGTGTTTTCCCTACAGCAGAGAGATGCAAACTATGAGATGTTTTTATAAAGTTATATTGGAACATGACCAGTCTCATTTCTTTAAATATGGGCCATGGCTACTTTTGCATTCAGAAACAGAACTGAGTAGTTGCAACAGAGACCATATGGCCCATGAAGCTTAAAATATATTCTACCTGGCCCATTACAGAAAAGATTTGCTCACCTCTACCTTATAGCATTAGTTTTCATGTAGAAAATTCAGTATGTTGAAAAGTAATTAATTAAAAATCCCACTCACTATAATGTGACTGGCACTAGGATCTCACAAAAAGAAAAGTACTTAACAGTATTTTATAATTGATGGATTTGTGCTTTGTTTCTCACCAAAATGAATAAGGTAGGTACCTTTTGCTAATATTAAGTTTGAAGAGTGATAGGAAGGGAATACAATTAATCTCTATCAAGACGTAGAAGTTATCAAAACCTGGGTTTGCAGACTAGTATTTAGGTTTAACAGATACATACACACATGTTTTATTATTTGATACTGAAATCCTATTTGGGAAAAAGTAAAAATTAGTTATCCTACATTTGAAGCCCTCTTTCTTCTCACCAACATTTTGAATTAAAGCAACGATTTTTTTCATGTAGCAATTTTTACAGCTCAACTTTTCATAGATGTGCTTTTTTTTATAACTCAACTTTTCTTAGAAAACTCAAGGCATAGAAAAGGCAATACTTTTACTTTTATTTTATTATCAATTATTTATAAAGAATGGCACATTGAAGAAACCACAAAACTTCACCTACCGTATCCTGTTATTAAAAGCCCTGTGGCCACATTTGTGGCAGCACATCAAAAAATCAATTGTGGCTTCTACGATATGTTATAATACATGCACAATTCTTTGCCCATGGATGGCAGTAAATATAAATTATTAAAAGATGACTGTTTTAAGGAAAGGATTTGGAAGATATAAATTTGAAGATCACCACAAAGTGATTTTATAAAAGTGTCACTAGATGGCAGCATCTTAAAAATAATAATAATAAACAATTAATAGTTCTCTAAAACCTCCCCAGAGTCATCCAGTTAGTTATTTTCATTATTTTACCTCTAAGAGTAGGTAATATGATATGTACAGGTAAAAACATAAACTCTACACTTGAGTGCCTACTTTATGCGATCTTTAATAAAAATCAAGCATTTTCCAACATATTTTTATTCAAAATCACCCACAGGTGTTCACACGCATATTGGCACAACCACATACTGGCATGACATTGTTCAGCCACCATGCCGCCTATTATAGTCAAGCTCCAAATGATTGCAGTCATCCTCTAATCATCCTGAATACTCCCCAGCCTGCCTTCTTCCAACGAACTTTCTAAATCACATATTTGATGACGAGACTCCCTGCTTCCCTTAAAGAACCCTCACTAACTTCAGAATATAATTCATACACCTTAGTGACCTGCTCCTTTCTAGCTCTCCTGTCTCAGATGCTCCTATATACTTACCTCACTCTATTTACATACACTTTTTCCAGGGTATTCTTTCTCCCCCTTTGCCTAGCTAGCTCATGTTGTGATCACAAGATAACTTCTAAGGGAAGGTTCTTATTCCACCTCTCTTCCCTCTTTCATTCTACAGTCCTACTTGCATATCTGTTTTGTAGCAATTTTCTAATCTTACTATCTTCTCTCACACAATACGAACTCATATAATTATCGAATAAATAAGTGAACAAATAATAAAGTCTTACAACTGTCAATAGTTATTCTCTATAGTGATGTTAAATATTAAAAGAATATTATTTGAGGTTCTCTGTTTCTGATATTTTATTGCATATGCTGTTAGTCAGACATGGCATCTTTTTAAAAGGAAGTATCTTGGGCAAAATAGTGGTT